CGAACCCCGGTGGGTGCGTACTGTTGAAGAGTTTCAAACTAGGACGAAACAGCTGGCCAGTAATCCCAGCTGGTTTTCCAATGGTTCTCTAACCAATGTCAGCTCATGATGAAATCCTGTAACCAATCAAATTCCTACAAACCAACACTTGAATTTATAATTCGGTTTGATGAACATTAGCCATCATGAATGCATGATGCAATATACTACTGACTGATTGGTTTGAGTAGATAGATAACCTTCTCATACCAATGAGTATTACTTGCTAGCCAGCCAAATAGAAATGATCCCGACACTGGAAAGCTGTTTCGCTTGTTCGGAGCCGAACATACCAGTCAAGTAACTACCCAGAATTCTGATATTTTAAACTGATTCGGTTCTCTGAGCTGAGATAAATCTGGTACATTGATGATGAGCTCGTCGCTAGACAAGTGACACGGCTACCGGATGTATAGATCGCCTTAAGTCTAGCTGGCTAGCAAACGCTACTGGGTGACATGAGTGGTATACAACTACTCATCTCATTCAGTTAGTAGTATATAGACTTGTGCATTTTTGTTTGGTATTTTGATTACTGTTTATAGTATCAAGCAGACCAACTATTGTGATGTGAATAATTTTGGTTTCCAAAGGGAACTGTGGTGAAATTTCCTCGAACTGTGTCAAATGCAAATAGTTTGCAAACTAAGAATTTGGTATCACTATCAGGCATTTTTGAATTACGAATATGATAAATATTCCTTAGTAAAGTATCATAGGTTGTATTGCAGAAAGAATGCATTACAAGTTGAACGGAATCAGCTTTTCATTGTTGGTTACAATAACATTCTAACTGATGTCACACTTGGTCGATACTGGACACAACACAGCCTTCAGGATTATATACCGAATTCCGAAGTCGTTATCACGTACAGTTTGCTTACGTCTCCTACACATAGCTGAGGCTGTTGCAATAAGATCGACTAAACCGGAACTTTGTGTCCAAAAAGAACACGTCCAGACGCTGTTCCTACCGTGGCCAAGCTTGGATTGATGATTCTTCTTCTCACCAAGAGTACCTCTTCCCCTTAACCCTCTTTATTTCTTTCCTTTGCTTATTATTACAAGTATTATTATTATTCGTCATAATTTATGCCATTCATGCAAACATTCTCTCAATACTATCGAATTTTCCATTTGTACTATCCTGACTTATTATTAGTGATATTATCTCTTTCCTCAATAGATGCCTCCACCTGTTTCATTTCACATGTTCGTTATTTCACTATTAATCTCTCATTGCAGCCCTACTCTCTCCTGTTTAATACATACCATTTTATACTAGCCACTCACTCACCTGACACCTTTTATAACCTTGATCTGACTTGTCAGTTTTCCTACCCCACACTCTACAAATCTATTATGACTAATCACCACCATTGTCTCCCGTTTTACAATATTTTGTAATCGATTTCAGCCCAGAGCACGTTTGTCACACAAATACGACTATTTATTTTGACACCCCATGAGTACTAATCTGTTATTCTACGTTAAAAATGTATCTGCCGCATAACTGGCCTTTATTGTAACGACAACAAATATTATATTTTATAATTGTAAGAAGCTGAAGAGAAATTATTGAAAAGAATATTCTTCGTTCAAATTGACTTTTAATTCATGATATGGGAATATTTCACACTATTAAATTTGTTATTCGCCCAAATATTTACTTGATATGAGGCATAACTCTATAAAAAGCCTGTACTTAAATATGCTAGATTTCTACTCATGTTACAATTATATTTCCTGGAAAATTCCCATTGGGACATTTAGACAACCAAAACAAGTGATTTAGCGAAGAGACTCTTTTTTTCAACGAATTTATTATCCAGCTGTATAATCGTATATATATTATACATATATATATTATATATATATGGTTTTTATAAGAAATTATATCCGGTGAGGGAATCGAATCATAGGTGTGAATACATTAAATAATAATAGTAGTATGAAATGCAATTAAAGTGTTTCTGATTGTAATCATAGTTCAATGTGAAGTGGCAAAACAATTAATGTCATATATAGAGTAATTCATAGGATGTATAGAACTTGGAAGGGGTGTGAAATTATAGGATTAGTAGCCAAACAGGATAAAAATGAAAACGTTACGTGACATTGTGTGAAATTTAGTAGCAAAACAAAGCTGATTTGGAATGACAAGTGGAACAAGTGAAACAATACCGGAGACAATTCAGTGTTAGAATAGTAATAGTAACAATTGACGTAATAAAGGAAGAGTATACAAATTAAATAAACAAAACGAAAAAGTCGGTGGAGCCAAAATAGGATTAGGGATTACCATACTTTAGCATAGAGGGATTAAGACCATGAAAGTTGGAAGGGTTGAACGAACTTTTTGTGTAAACAGAGATCTGACTTTTCTGTTTTGGTGGCCAAATCTTCAGCAATACAGATGAGTCAAATTACTTTTCGCCTTGTCGATGACTTTAAAAGCGGAGGCTGTAGAGATAGAGTGATCATTATTGACCAGATATTCAATGATCGCCCTTCTTATTGCTCCACTTCTACCTCTTCGGAACCCTGCATGATAGTGTTATTGCACCCTTTTGGAAAAAACTCAAGTCGAACGACCGATATACCTATCTTCATACGAGCAGGTGAATTGATAAACACACATAGCATTGTTTAACTGTGGGATCTTGTCCTTCAGGTTATTGGACAGTAATAGTTGACTGGAAAACGCTATTCGCAACTATGCAGGAGGGAGTATCCTTCTCAGAGACTGTGAGATCCTCCTTTTAATGATATCGGAAGCTAAGTAACCTTTGAATTCCGACCTTGTGTACAGTATTTTCTTGGTTACAGATGATAAGTCGCATTTGTATACTCTTCCTTTATTACGTCAATTGTTACAATTACTATTCTCACATTGAATTGTCCCCGGTATTATTTCGCTTGTTCCACTTGTCATTCTAAATCAGCTTTGTTTTGCAATGTTAGACTCTATGCTACCAAATTTCACAAAATGTTACGTAAGGTTTCCGTTTTTATTCTGTTTGGCTACTAATTCTACAATTTCACACCCTTTTCAAGTCCCATACATCCTATGAATTGCTCTATATATGACATTAATTGTTTTGCCACTTCACATTGAACTATGATTATAATCACAAACACTTTAATTGCATTTCATACTACTATTATTATTTAATGTATTCACACCTATGATTCGATTCCCTCACCGGATATAATTCCTTAAAAGCAACCATATACATTCGACTACTTCTTAGGGTGGCATTCAAGCCTACAAACTCACTCAAAGACAAGCTATGTAGGCTAAAGGATCCGGTGGACCCAATTAAACAAAATAATATCATTTACAAAATACCTTGCAATGACTGTGAGTGAGGTCAACTACATAGGTCAGACTAGTAGATCGGGGGTAGTCAGATTGTCGGAACATAAGAATTTAGCTAAGGTAAGAATGGTTGACCCCGAGAAGATGAGTAATTTAGAAAAACGCTCACCGATTGCACTGCATGCATTAAAACACAACCACACAATAGGATGGTGGGAGAGGGTTAAAATTCTAAGAAGTAATATATGTAGGTGGAGAGGGAGAGAGATTGATTACTGAATCCCGGTTCATTGAGTCTACACCCAACACGACACATGCAACAGAAATGACTCAATGCAAATACCAGAGATATGCATGGAAGATATTATTACCACCAGTCAGTCAAATCACAGGAGGATAATAAATAATCTTAAAATTCTATTTCAATTCAATTCACGTACATCATAACATTCTAACAAGTTACTTATTTTGACTATAAAAACACTCGTCTTATTTCCCATCTGATTGTATTTGATCAATAACACTCATATTATTATTTCTGAATGTACATTATCCTATATTGATTTTTATTCAAATGTCTATTCATCAGTTTCACCCATGTATATAAATGAAGCAACGAGGTTGTGTGAGTGACTTGATATGATTATGAGTAGCAATAGTTTGTGCTCGAAAGGTGGTCATCAGTTAATATTACAGTACAACACACTGTGTGATTTATCAAAGTAAAATCTTATCTATAATGGAGTTATACTCTACCACAGTGCCTAAGTTTTATACTTACTTCTTATCTGTCATTTCCTAAAAACACTTCTATTAACCAAAAAAGATTTCGCGTTATTCAGCTGATTCGCTTCATCCTTCTTTCATTACCCTAATGATTCTACGGGTTACATTAGCTTTCTGTGATGCTTAACAGTTCAGCATATATGACAGCTTTCCCATTCAGTTTAACAAAGAAAACTTCGCAATAATTTGTCCCCTAACGAATTCATTTTCCTTAATACTTTACTGCAGAGAACTCTTCATTTCCTGAACTGTTCCTTTATCATGTTCACAGTGATATATGCTAAACATTACTAGTTCCATATCTGTTCAGTAATGTGACGGCATAGTTTTACCATCAAGCGCCTTATCTCTCAGCAGACTGTGTTTAAATCCAGAACAACTATTTATAGATAGTTTTGATTTGAAATCGGAATAAAGCAAAAGTAACCGAGAAAAGATTTTCTCGGATTCATTTTGGCTTTTTGACCAATTTTTGTCTTAAATTACGGTAAGTGTTCTAGGGTGGTTATCATATTATTGCTGATACAGTGCGTCGATGGTTTAGTGGTTCAATGTTCGCCAACCACGCATGTGTTCTGATATTCGATTCGCTGCCTTCGCGCTACTGGACCTCGCTTAGTTAACCACCCGACAGTAGGCTTCAACAGTAAAGCTCTAGGTTCCACTCGGAACGCAAAGGCATGAAAAATAGGAGAGTGAATACTAGTTACTGATATATTTCCTTCTCCACTCTGACGTAATACATTTTTTGAATCTTCTCTTGGTGTTCTTGTAATTATTTTTTGAGTGTATTTTATATATAAGAATGATATTATATCTAAGCACCTTTTTATTCATATTTTTATTGTTAAAGAGTGATTATGAAAAACTTGTTGGTCTTCCAGTTGCACCATTTATGGATCGTCATAAAGTGACTAAATCTGCTAGTCAATGTGGTTTCATCCGTTTTGTTATTCTGCCTCTATTTGAGTCTCTAGCAAAGTTATTACCAGAAGTTAAGGTACGTTTTAACATGCTTTTTATTTACGTGTCCCTTTTTCCCCTGTGCATTGATAGACTTAAGCAAGTGTTCATTATTAAGTGGCCTACTTAAAACTTATTATTATTTATTATTATTCCCTTGGGTTCCGAGTAGAACATAGAGCTTCAACAATACATCTCCACTTTCTTGTATTCTCCGTTCTCCTCTTAAGCTGGGTATATGACTGCTCATAATCTCTCATCTCCTCCAACTCGCCACACGATCGACCGTCGACCCGCTCATCGATTCCCATTTGGACTCCACTCGAGTGATGACCTGCATTGAGTGCGATGTCATTCGATGGCCTCCTCAACGTATGCCCGATCAGTCCATCTCCATTTTCTCCGACATATTTGTTAAGCAATCGGCTCTAACCTTTTGGTTTGTTCCAGCCAGCCAGCCACAGTTTCTTCTTGCTAATTCCTTCTGTTTGGCCGGCCGACTGGCCATTTGCTCTTCAGTATGGTGCTACCCAGAGAAGTGGGCAGCTGTTGATACAAGTGTGAATTGGCTTGTTGCAAATGCTTTTTGCAACACGCAGTGGAAGTTTCTGACCCGTATAGAACAAGTGACTGGCTGACTTCACATTTGTGTTGAACAGAATCCGAAACTTGTTCCTTATGCTGACTGAGGCGGAGTGCAGAAGATTTCCAAACTGGTTTCAGGTTGATCAAGGCGTATCTTGCCTATCGATTCTGCATGGCTGGCTTTGACATCTTCATCCTTTCCGCCGTCCTGTAGAGAAAACTGTGCTTCGTGACCAGATAAGTGAAGGAAGCAACCTCTTTTAAATATCTCCCGTTGGTGCTGGTTGTTACTGCTATTGTTGCTCGTGCGTGGGTATCTTCATCATCTCCGTCTTCTCTTTGTCCACCTGCAGTCCTGTTTTCGCTGCCTCTTCTGCCAGTTTGTTGGTTTTCGCCTGCCTACAAGTCTTCGAGTTTGTGTGACGCTAAACATAAATCATCCACATGCGAAATCCAGATCTTCGGTAGAGTCTTCTTGTTGGTGGCCCAGTGTATTCCTGTCTTCTCACTCTCCTCGCACAGTCTGACGCATAATCCAGTCCACCACAATTAAGAATAGCATCATTGGTGATAATAGGCTGTCAGCCTTGTCTTACTCCTGTATGCACTTCGAACGCCTTTCTGAGTTTTCCGTTGTGGATCACCTGGCACGCGGTACTGTCATATAGCCAGATGTTGAATGAGGTAGAATTGGGCATTTCACGCCGTAGTGTTGAACTAGTTTCCAAATTACTTCTCCATCAACGCTGTCTGTCGAAAGCCTTTTTGAAGTCGATGAAGCTATTGAGGTAGAGATTTGACTGTTATTCCATGCTTTGTTCTGTGATGACGATGCGTAGAGTTTCAGTTTGATCAGCACATGATTTTTATTTCGTGAATCCAGCTTGCTCATATGGATGGAGGAATTCTGTATCCAGTGCATCCACTTATTCTCTCCAGGATGATGCGACTTGATATTTTACTTGGCATGGACAAGAGCGTGATTCCAAGCCAACTTAAAACTTGTGCTCTCCTGAACCTCCATCATTATATTGCATATACAATTTCTCTTGTTTATACTTTCTTTTAATCTATTAAAACATGACCCTTACTAGAATTACTTAATCTCGCCAGTATTTAAAATGTCTGCAACCTACTGATTCTCAATTTTCTGTTAAACTTGAGAAAATGCATAAACGTGGGTGGTAGTATATCCCGCCCAGTGCACGAGGAAAAAACTATTCCGAAGTTATATCCACAAGTGCTTTTTATGATTGGCTGTCAATCAAATGTTGTGCATTTCTCGATGTAAACAAAGAAGAAATAACATCATGGATCAGTTTGCGCTTCAAGTCAGACAGCATTGTGTCACAGGATCCTGTACGAGGAGTAAATATCATACAATAAACTTCCCTGAAAATTCTGTGCATTTTATAACTACTGTCCAGAATAAAACTGTTATTATGATTATTATCATTATGAAAACTTTTTGGCCAACTTTCACGTAGTAATCTAAATTCTATAAATTTTGGATTAGAATAAACAAAATTCATCATTCTTACCGACAGCGTTGTGGGAAGCACAAGCTTACAAAGTGTTCGAATCATTGGCTACTTGAATACCATTTACATAAGAGTACTCAATGAAATTTCAATCTGCTGAGCCTGAGGTCTAACCCGTGTGGGTGCGTGCTGATGAAGAATCCCAGACTAGGGCGAAACAGCTGTTCAGTACTCCCTAGTTTTCTAAATAATTCTATAAGTGATGTTAGATCGTGACCGAATCCCCACAAACCAACACTTGATATTTCTGTAAAAAAATTAGTTATTTCATATAAAATATCTTTCGTGTAGTGACTCCCTCCCCAAATGAGTCCCAAACTAGGACGAAACAGCTGTACAGTAAGTATTTCATGGTCGGTGTTCAATGGTTCTCTCCCTGAAAATCAACTCTTAAAGAAATTCCCATGTACATTTCTAATGTGGTTGCGTCATCTGAGCTGGATAATTTCACTACGAAGCTTTCATTTTCCTTCTGGACATCATGTTTAGTGCCTACTTAAATATGAAGTAGTGAACTTATTCGAATTCTCTATGAATGATATCACTGTATCTCCACAGATGACTGATAATTTGTATCGACGGTGATCGCAGTTACACCAACCAGCTCAGAGAACACGATCACATTAAAATCATTCTTTTGAAGTACAAATCGTTTCTATTATTTCTATAGACACCTGCTGGGTTTTTTTCATTCCCCACTGCGTTTCGAGTGAAACATAAGGCTTCAAGTTTTGGAAGTTTCAATAGAGGTGGTGCTTCGTTTAACAGGCTGGGGTTGGAAGCCTCATGCCTAACCTACACTCTTTCCCGGGCCTACTATCGGCTGGTGAGATTTAGGAGTGAGTCAGCCAGGAATCGAACTCAAACCGGTGAGCATCCTGCCGTTGGATTACCAACGTATGCAGGATAATGTGGCAACACATTTCCAGAACTGTGACAACAACATACAAAGTTTATGTGACATATTATACATCAGCTAGAAAGCAAGCTTCTGTCTAGTCTGAATGTTTCAATTCATTGCAATGACAACCAAAATTTTTTTAAGTTCAAAAAATTCTTTCATTTCACAGATCGATTACACATACATCTATATTTTTCTATGTACGTTCCAAGCGAAACAGAGAACTTCAAGCTACAAGCTTTAAAGTTTCAGTAGTTGCAGTGTCATTTTACTAAATGAGTTTGCTGGCATCCTACCAAACTTTCCCTCTTTATCATGTTTACTTCCCGGCTAAGCAAGGTTTAGGAGTGAGTCGGACGCGAATCGAAGTCTAAACCACGTGATCACCTACAACTCACCATCAGGGATCGAACCCCAAGACCTTCAGGTTACTAGATGAAGCTTGTTGAACATTCAGCCACTTCAGACGGTCAGAATTCAGTGCCCCGTGAATTCTAAATTCAATAAAGAAAGGAAGACGAAATCTGCAGTATAAAATGATACCATTCCATTTTACAGGTTCTCATCAGCTGCAGGCTGCCTGATAACACAATGGTTATATAGATGATAATAACATACTTTAATATTTAAGTGGGAGTAGAGAAGAGATACTATAAAACTGACGCATCCCAAATGAAAGCGTTACAATTTCTAGTTTAAGTTTTCATCATCAATTTATGCGCTTTCAAAGTTGAAAAGAGGGGGGACGGGTAAGACAGAAAACAGAAAAATTGGTTAACAGAAACAGTGTTAGCTTGTAGGTTCACATAGCAACTCAAAAACAAAGGCGGTTACAGTTTATGAGATTAAGATTTGTTCAGTGAGTTGAGGTCACTGAATTAGATGACTAATTAATTTAATCAAAATCAAAATGAAGTTACCAAGGGAGTGAGAGACTAATCACACTCTCTTTCTGTATGCATAAGTCTGGTTTAAATCGTTTGATTGCGATCGCTTCGGCAAATCGTAGTAAATTTGCTGTCCTTTGTCTATTTAATATTTTGAAGGACTTAGAAATCTCTACGAGATGTCCAGTATCAACAATATGTCTGGTAATTGCACTCTGAGAATATTTGCTTCCTTTCAGGCACAGGTTTCTTGGAATATGTTCAGAAAACCGGATAGAAGCCCTTCTTTCCGTCCTTCCAATGTACTTGCTCCCGCAAGTGCACGTGAATTCATAAACGCAGTTGGAGGTGACATCAACAGGGTATTTATCCAGTTTTAAGTGACTTATAGAAGAAGTGGTGCTGTATAATGTTATGAGTTTTGCTGCTGGGAAGCTTCTTTTTATTGCACGTTTCAATCTTTTGTCAATCTTTTGTGACACTGCATCTCCTTTCAGTGGGAGACAAATAAACACTTTTTTCAACTTTAAAAGCGTATAAATTGATGATGAAATCTTAAACTAAAAATTGTAACGCTTTCATTTTGGATGCGTCAATTTTATAGTATCTCTTCTCTACTACCACTCAAACATTAAAGTATGTTATTATCATCTATATAACCATTGTAATATCAGGCAGTCTGCAGCTGATGAGAACCTGTGAAATAGAATGACGGTATCGTTTTATACTGCAAATTTCGTCTTCCTTTCTTTGTCGAAATTTATCAAGGGAACCAAATGCATGAAATTCTAACTTCGGTTCACTCGTGTATAATATAACCTCCTAGCCTCAACCAATTCCTTTAACCATTAAAATGAAGTTAATCCAAGTACCCAAAAATCCTAAAATCTAAATGTGTTATCATCATTTCTTTATTTCTTTATTTTTTTTGACCGTTGTACAGCCAATTATCGTTCAGCCTGCAATGGAACAATTAGCCTACTACACAGAATTACACGCAAATGAAGAGAAGAAAGTCAAAGCTGAAAATCAAAAAGTCAACAGTGTTACCTCTCGAAATGATAATGATAATCACAATAGTAATAATAATAATAATAACCAGAGTACAACAGACAAGCAGTCTTAATAATCACGCTTCTAAAACCGAAAACACCTCCAGTTCATTTAATTGTCAATGTTATAAATACACGTCATTTCGTAACTGACAACCACCTGTTTGTTTGTTTGTTATCAACAGTAATCTACACAGACTTCTTTATTTTCCCTGAAATTACCTACTACACAGTTGTGTGTGTGCATGTGTGTGGTTTTTTATTGATTAATTGTGAGTAGTCTCACCTTTAGATGAAACTAGCCCCCTCGACCTTCACCCCGAACGTTTAGTTAATAATCTTATTTTTATTGTTGTCATTGTTTTGTTGTGTTTTTCCTTTACTTTTTTGCATTATTTCCTTACTGAAAATGAAGTTGTCTGTGGGTGTGTGGGTGTGCGTGGGTGTATCTTGATCACTAGGAGGACACACTCACCTTCACTAATAGTTTTGCTCAAATTTTGTGTGTGTGTGTGTGTGTGTGTTTGTGGCGTTTTTTTGCAATCTCTGGTGTACATTATAATGCAGCTGATGGGGCATTCACTTACACACACTCACACACACACACAAACACAGAGATAGTTTTACCCCCAAAAAACACAATTTATTTTTTCAGATATTACATGATGATATTGGAAAATTCTTTTCACAAAAAATAGGATTCTCAAACCGCAAAACTTTATAATGAATCAATCAGCTGTATACAAAATTATTCGTTTTTCATTTTATCTATTATCTATTTTGAAAAATGAACTCTCCTCCTTCAAGCCTTATATTTTCGTTGTGTTTCTTAAAAACAAATGTTTGAATTGGAAAAAAAAGCACACTTTATTTTAGGATATAATTATATACTACTTTTAGAGAATAAATGAGTAGACAAGGTATTGTACACAGCTGAACTTTGAATTTTCTATGGAATATTGTTATTTTAATTGTTTGTTTTTTTGTGTATGTTAAAGGCTTGTATGTGTGTCTGTGTGTGATAAGCCTTTTTTATTATAAAACAGCTGTTCTGAAAAAAAATAAATAAACCTATTCATGTCATATTTATATATAATTTTGTTTTTTAAACTCCAAGCAAATTGAACTACCTTTTGTTTAAGCTGAAACTGAGTCGCTGTCAAGGAAGAAGGAAAAGCGTCTTGTGCGTTTTAGCTCAAGTTTTGTTTCTCTAAGTTTCCGCCTTCTTAATTTTGATTTAATTATGCTTTACCTCAAAATATGTTGTTTTTTTTAATGACCTTTCTGTATGTTTTATTTCAATGGGAAACTTGTGAATCTTGAATCTCTCTTGAATACTTACTCTACTCAATCTTTTACTCTACCCCACCTGTCTATCGAACTATATGATCATAATCATCATCATCATGGCAGTGTCGTACAGATTCGATTTATTAATTAAACTTCATAACAAAGTGCTATGCGCAGGAATGATTGTAGCCAAATGTGAAATGTACACATTCCATAGTTGATGGACAACTTGAAACTCTTCTCTTGGATTTTTATCTATTCAATGAATATTCCCCCGCCCCCCCTCCGGCCGTTAATCAATCAACACTTCTTTAATTTTATACTAGTTTTCAGAAATTTGATTACTAAACAGCTACTGCTACTCCTTCTTCTTCTTCGTGTTCCTGTCGTCTATTACTTTGTTCCCCCTTGTGGCATGGTGTTATTTTTGTTTTTTGTTTTGTTCCAGACATTGTTGCGTGTTGATTTTTTGAAACTGAAACCATGTCGCCTCTTTTCGCGTTTTTATGTATGATTATTATTGTTATTATTATTACTATTACTATTCGTTTGTGAAATATTTTTTTTGGAGTTATCACTTTATCACAATTTGTAATTTCACAAAATTTTAAACAGGAAAATAAAAATACAACAGAGCTTATTCTCAAGTGTGCTGAGTTTGCAGAGATTTTGATTGTTTCGAAGTATGATTACGAGCTATTTATTGGGTTGGAAAACCATTAGAAAAATTCAGGAGATACTGGACAGGCGTTTCGCCATAGTTTTGGCACTCTTCAGCGTCATGAAGGCACCACCAGAGTATAAACCCAGGACCTACCATTCAGACACTGGGACCCGATCCAATGGCTAACCCATGAATTCCAATCCCACTGGTCGCGTAATCTAAGCAGAACTGCATCAAATTAACTATGAAGTGCTGGCTTATAGTGATTTGATTGGTTATAGCCTTAGACTACGACCTGGGTGAGCACTGATGAAGTGCCTCAGACTAGGATGAAACAGCTGTCCAGTAATCCTTGGTTTTCCAGTAATTCTCTAACTGATGCCAGCCCACGATCAAACGTGTAAAAGCTTATTCTTATAAGGTATCCTATTACTTTGAGAATAATGTGAGACATGAATGCCAAACTGGGATCAGACAACACAGGAAGGGAACTCATCATGGGTAGAGAAGCTCTCGGAGAAATGAATGAAAACGGAGAACTCTTCGCCGACTTCTGCGCCTTCAGTGAACTAGTGATTGGTGGCAGCGTATACAAACACAAGGATATCCACAAGGCTACATGGGTGTCACCAGATGGGCGAACCAAAAACCAAATTCACTTCATCTCGATCTCAAGGAAGTGGAGGCGCAGCCTGCTGGACACGAAAGTAAGAAGAGAAGACGTTGGCTCAGACCACCACTTCGTACAAGGGGCAATCCAAATCAAATTAAAAGCTTTCAGAGAAACGGGACCTGCAGATAGACCACAAGCCATGTTCAACACTCAAAAACTAAAGGACCAGGACACAAAGGACATCTTCACTGCAAGCATAAAGGACAAAGCCGAGACACAATTCAACACTGGCGAAGAGATCGGCGTCGAAAAGCACTGGAACAACTTGAAAACAGTGTGGAGTCAAACCTGCATGAGAGTTCTAGGCAGAAAGAAGAGACAGGACAAACAATGGCGCACTACGGACACTTGGAGACTAATAGAAGAGAGAGGGATAGTGAAACAAAAGATTCTCCAGTGCACCGACGAGCAACATAAACAGGATTTGAATGCAAGCTACAAGACACTGAACAAAAGAGTAAAGAAGAGTGCCAGAAAAGACAAAAGAAAGTATTATAAAACCATGGCGAGTGAAAGAGAACAAGCTGCAGGCAAAGGAGACCTCGCAACACTCTACCAAACTACCAGGTACCTATCGGGCAAACGTTTGACACAAATCAAGCCGGTGGAAGATGACAATGGAAAGTCACTCACCAAAGAAGTGAAGCAAAGGAAACCCTGGGCCGAAAACTTCAAAAGACTCGTAAATCGACCACCACTGACAACGCGCCCAACATTACCAACAACGGAGACAGAGCTACCAGTGAACACCAACCCCCCGACGAAATCAGAAATCCTGAAGGCAATCAAGATGCTAAAAGCTGGAAAAGCAGCAAAACCAGATGGAATCCCAGCAGAAGCGTTGAAAATGGACCCAGAGACAACAGCAGACTTGATGACGCCACTACTGAAGAAGGTGTGGAAAGAAGGCAAATTACCGGAGGATTGGAAGAAAGGATACTTATTCAAACTACCAAAGAAAGGAGACCTAAGTCAATGCAAGAACTGGCGCGGAATTATGCTCCTATCCATCCCAAGCAAAATACTAAGTCGCATCATCCTGGAGAGAATCAAACAGGCGCTGGATGAAAAACTTCGACCGGAACAGGCTGGATTCAGCAGGAACAAGTCATGCATTGAGCAGATCGCCACATTACGGATCATCATTGAGCAAAGCCTAGAGTGGCAGTCACCTCTCTATCTCAACTTCTTCGACTTTGAAAAGGCCTTCGACAGCGTCGATCGAGAGGTGATTTGGCAACTGCTTCGCTACTACGGGGTGCCACCGACAATTATACATCTCATCCAACAGCTGTACGACAATGCTGCATGCCAAGTAATCCACAACGGGAAACTCACGGAATCCTTCGAAGTGAGGACAGGAGTAAGACAAGCTGGCTGCCTACTATCGACAATGATTTTCCTGATTGCAGTAGATTGGATAATGCGACAAATAGCGGGCAATGAGGAAACAGGCATAAAATGGACTCACACAAAAAGCTTGGAGGATCTGGACTTCGCCGATGATATATGTCTAATTTCGCACAAACTGGAAGATATGCAAGCGAAAAGCAACAAGTTAGCAGAAGAAGAATCAAAGATAGGACTTCACTTCATGTGAACATAGAGAAAACAGAGGTGATGAAGATTCCTGGACAAGAACAACAACAACAGACAACGATCAGCATAAATGGGAGCAACCTGAAAGAAACAACCTCCTTCACCAACCGACCTGGGAAGCATCGTTTCAACTACAGGCGGAAGTGAGGAGGATATCAAAGCAAGAATCGGAAAAGCGAGACAAGACTCTCAAGTCTGTGTGGAGATCAACAGCACTCAGCATCAAAGCGAAAATAAGATCCGGATTTTCAACTCCAATGTGAAGTCAGTGCTACTCACTATACGGATCAGAGACTTGCACTGCGCGTCATAAAGAGCATCTGAAACAAACTACAGACCTTCATCAACAGTTGTCTTCGCTCAGTACTCAAGATCAGATGGCCAGAAAAGATCAGCAACAGGGATATCTGGAAGCGAACCAAACAGGAACTGATTGTGAAACAAATAGGCAGGAAGAAATGGAGATGGATTGGTCATACTCTGAGGAAGCCATCAAGTGACATCACTAGACAAGCCATCGCTCGAGTGGAACCCGAAAGGGAAGCGGTGAGTTGGTCGTCAGTGCAAGGGTGACTTGGAGGAGGTCATGTGAAGAGGAGATGAAAACGTGTGGGCAGACATGGAGCCAGGTGAAGACTCTAGCAGAGAACCGAACGCAATGGAGACGCACGGCTGAAGCTCTATGTTCCTTTAGGAATTAAAGGAAACAATAATCATTACTTTGAGAACAATGTAACGAAAAAACCTGAGTGTCGTGATCTAAACACAGAAAATTGATGTAGTGCTGTATAGTTGACCAAAATTTCCTTGATTTACTAACAGTCACAGAACGCCCTAACGATAGCGGAGAGACGGCCATTTGCAATCAAATCTGAGGTACTGTTTAACAATAATAATATAATTGTTTTTATTCCTTCACGTTCTCAGTGGAACATAGAGCTTCAAGCTAGAGGCTTGAAGTTTCTGTAGCAGTGTTTATTTTTACAGAATGGGGCTGCTAGCCTCATGCCCAACCTTCCCTCTTTACCAGTCTTATCACTAGCTTAGAGAGGTGAAGGACCGCGTCTGTGGCCGGGGATCGAACCCCAGACCATGTGCATGGTCAGCGAGCGTCCTAACCGCTGTGCCACATAATAATATATTATATGGTCAGAATTACCTCAACAATGCCATTAGGCAACTATACAAATTTAGTTCTTCTTAGTGTAGATAGAAAACAGGTATTGTAGAACAAAATTAGTTAACCAAATCAACCGTAAGAAGTGCCTGAGAATCAAGAGGAATATCCCCAACAATGTGGGATCAAAACTCTGTCCATAAGATTCGCACATCAAACAGTTCCAGCAGACAGTCCAATATCAGAATGACCTTGATTCAATCAAACAAAATCCCATTGGAAAACAATCCATTAGCAATATCATCACACAACCACAGGGAGAAGCATTAAAATTAGAGGTTAAACAGGAACAAAGGCAAATAATAAAGATCAAGTCAACAGTTTACATACAAACGTTAGAACGATGATAATATAGTTTATGAGAAAAGCCCATAATAATTATAAAGTTAATTTTCAAGTATTGGTTTTGTAGGGATTTTGTTTGATTGCACGGAGGATTTCATCATGAGCTGACATCAGTTAGAGAACCATTGGAAAATCAGCACTGGAGTACTGGACAGCTGTTTCGTCCTAGTTTCGGACTCTTCATTAGTGCGCACCCACGGGGTTCGAACCCAGGACCTTCTGGTTGCAAGGCGACCTCGTAGACCATCGGGTCCCAGTGGCTCAGTGGTCTACGAGCTCCCCTTGTAACCAGAAGGTCCTGGGTTCGAACCCCGGTGGATGCGTACTGATGAAGAGTCCCAAACTAGGACGAAACAGCTGTCCAGTACTTCCAGGTTTCCCAGTGGTTCTCTAACTGATGTCAGCTCATGATGAAATCCTCCATGCAATTATAAAGTTAGTTGAAGCATCCAATTATGTAGAAATATTGTAATTAGGTCGTTCAGGAGGGATTTCTCAAAACAACAGATGATCTGATTTGAACAGTTCATCAATTTTATCATGATACCAGTTCAGTAGATGTGACTGAAATGGACATTTGCAGTATTATGATTCACCTGTCGATGAAACAGGCGAATTACTTACACTCTAAAAAATAATTCATCTGTGAAACTTTGTTCAGCTTTACGAAATGTAGGGTTTTAAAGAGATGAATGAAGTAACTGTACAACCGGTTTGAAGACTGACTGACTGGCTGGTTTCAACATAGAACTTTGCACTGATGTGCAGCAGTTCGAGTCACCACACTCCACGTAGCACACAAAGGAAGAGAAGAA